TATATATACTGTGCAGAGTAGTACCGCAGTAGAAATTTTCTTCTATGCCTACATGCACTAATCAATTCATTCCTACGGTTAAGTGAGCTTAATTCAGGGTTATAATATTTTATTATGAGAAGTGGGGTGGGGGGTGGTTGTTTAGGGAAAGGGCGTCCCCTCCAATTTGAGATTTTTGTTTTGAATTAGTAGACTGCCACACGAACTCAGATGGCATCTGAAAAGAAGTAAGCTTAAAATAGAAAGTGTTTTTTTGCTTTATCAGAGTACACGGAAGCACACACACAAGAGGATTGACCATTATTTTTTTTTTGCATGGTAAACGAAGGGGGTGGCTAGCCACCCTATTCACCCCCTAGATCCGCCACTGGTATTTCAGGTGACTGCGCCAAAACTCGTTCATTGGAAATTTGTTTGAACCTTAATAAAATGATAAACGCTTATATGTTACATAACAAGAAATGAACCGTTAGCACTTCAATAATGATTCCTGTTTTCTTTACTCTTGTGGTTGACATTTGCTTTAAAGTCCTGTTCAGATTATCAAATTTTATTTGACAAAAACATGTGACATGCCTAAATATGGTCATGACATCACACCATGGCCATATATAGGCACATCATGACTATATTTGGACAGTTTTTTGTTAATTAAAGTTTGATAGCCTGGACAGGGCTTTATTGTCAATATTGTATGTTTTATATCCATGGATGTATACAAATAGATATCCAACGATCACAATGATACCATTTACAACATTATTCCCTTAAAAATATGTTGATCAATTGATTTACTATTTAACTCATTCAACAAATTTGTAATATTTTTAGATAAATGATCTCTTAACAAAGGAGAGTATGGAAAAATATTTCAGTGCTTCTTCCATCGATGAAGGTAAGCAAAGATATTATATTTATTGTTTAGATTTTCATTTTTTTTTTGTGAAGGAAAAAGTAAGTTTGAACCATATAAGCATATCATTAAATTAAACAATAATAAAAAAGTAAATCATTTGAAAAGTCATTTTCCCATTATAAGTGAATACATAACGCAACCCCTGGGCCATGTCCACTAACAACTTTTTAGAAACGATCACGCGTGTGAACATGGCTCCTATTTTATAGAATTTATGAACATTTGCACGTTAGGTTTTTAAGCAAGCTGGTATAAAACATTGAGTCTGATAAAGCCTGGGAATAATTGTAACCTTGTTGCATTTGAAATTCAGGTGAAGCCTAAAGACATTTGTAGAATAGTTATTTGAAAAAGTTCATGGTTCACATAAGAAATAAATTAAAAAAAAACAACCAGGAAATATCTTATCATACTTGCTCTTTTGGTCTATTTCCTTCTCTAATCAGCTAATACACCGGCAAAGGAGGGGCAATTTTATTTCCTTGTGGAGCGATAAAAAGAAGGAAGCGATTATTTGCTCCTTTACTGTATATTTGAGCTCAGGGTGGCCTTTAGTGATTCTCTTCTACGAATATTATGCAAACTTTTATTTGAAATTCCACGGTTGGTTATATACTTATATATATATGTATGTGCGTGTGTGTGTGGGGGGTGTGCGTGTGTGTGTGTAAACAGAATATTGATATGTATACTTTACTTAAATTTACATAGGCCTAACTTTAATATTTTCAGTATTGTGGTGTAGCACAATGAAAAGTAGAATTTAAAATCACCAAAACATTATAACCAATTGTTTCATGACTTAGATATTATCTTTCGCCGGTGAAATCAGTTTAAAAAAAAAATATTTGTCCCTTTAAACAATCGTCCCACAACACGTGCAATTACTAACGGCGATTATTTTATTCCTAGACCACATTGTCAAATTTTTAAAAACTGTTTTAGCTATAAGGGTCCAAATTTATATAATTCTATTCCAAATTCTATTCGTTTATGTACTACTTTTGCTATTTTCAAACTTAAATTTAAATAGTATATTCTGTAATTTTCTTGTTTATCTTTTTAAAACGTTTTTAATTAATGTATTCTCAAATTTTTACAAATTATCTTTTATATTTGAATTTTATAAATTTGTGTAATTAAGTGACTCTTGTTTTTATTCTTGTATTGTATGGGGGCCCCTAATGATCAGCATTGCTGGATGGGTCACCCTCTTGAAATATGGATTTAAATAAATAAACAAATTAATTAAGAACCAGAGTCCAGGTCATTAACAACGATTAGGCCTAATTGTTACACCTTAATCCAGCAACACACTTTATTAAACATATTATCAGTATACTAATAATGGAAGAGGATGTTTGATAAGTTCCCTTGCAAGATGCTTGCTATTTAATAACAGTATATTTTAATGACCACGTGTTTCTTTTCAGTACCCGAGTATGAAATAATCAATCCAGTATCGGCATTGAGTGGTCGACGCAGACGATCGATAGGAGAAAGCGAATACCCTGACAAACACGAGTTCAAGTTAATTGCCTTCGGGGAGGACTACCACATTACACTATGGAAGAATAAGGATATAATTCCACCAGGTAGTGTTGCTGAACATGTGCACAAAAACGGTACAGTGGTAAAACGCCCAATACTAGCCAACGATTGCTACTACTTCGGCGAGTTAGCATCCCATAACACATCGCGAGCTGCTATTAGTACTTGCAGGGGTTTGGTGAGTAGACCTAAAGTGTATATTATATTTATTATTAAGTATTATTTGAAAGGTTCGATTCAATAACAAACCAAAAAATGTTAGAGTACAATTGTTGCGAATCATACCATGGATAACCCACCCAAATCAAGTCCGAAGACGTTTCCATTGAGATCTTTCTGGTGGTGAATATACCTTGACATAACTGTTGTTTGAGCATATTGTTGCCAGTGAAGATAAGTCAAACATTAATGTTTTCTTCAATCTTCAAATGCTTAATATATTTAGTTACTATTAGCTATTTACATTATCAATAGTCTGGAATATTCAGCCATGGGAACACTGATGTGTACATCCAACCTCTTCAAGAAGACCATGCAAAAAGCGTTCGGAGCAGGCGTAGTGATCTTGAGCACCCACATGTAATTTTCAGACGATCTGCAGGTGATACGCCAAATATGGAAAGTGATGAAACCAGAGAAATGAAGAAACACTTTTGCGGCAATGATGCACGTAAGTAAAGGCTTCCAAATAATAATAATAATGATAATAATGATAATAATAATGATAATAATAATGATAATAATAATGATAATAATAATAATAGTGATAATAATAATAATAATAATAATAATGATAATAATAATGATAATAATAATAATAATGATAATAATAATGATAATAATAATGATAATAATAATGATAATAATAATAATAATGATAATGATAATGATAATGATAATAATAATAATAATGATAATAATAATAATAATGATAATAATAATAATAATAATAATAACAACAACAACAACAACAACAACAACAATAGTAATAATAATAATAATAATAATAATAATAATAATAATAATAATAATAATAATAATAATAATAATAATAAGAGCACTCAGTAGAGAGCATATCTCCGTCCACCGACAATCTCTTCCTATAAAATAAATCTTTAAAAATATGTTCCAACCACCAACCATCATCTACTTAAAAAATTACACTAATAAGAAAGTTTCATTCAGATCAGTTGATTAATTTTTGAGATATCCGATCTGGGACAATTTGCTTTAAATGGTCCATATCCACATCAAAATTTAATCACTTACTGTATCAGTTGTACACCTGCCAATTCCTTACATCTTCTGGCTTAATACACTGGCACTTTTTACTTATATAGTTGACAAAAAAATACTGTATTGGTGTTGAAATGGAAATATTATGCAAATTAAACTATGGGGATTTTTTATCGTCACATTTTTTAATGTAAAGATGCGTTAAAAATATTCCCAATTAGTTCCGAAAAAGTTAGTACGTATAAAACGCTGTACACCTTTACTGTAATTGGTTAAACTGTCACAAAAAAATTCATTCATATTAGTTGATGGTTTTTGAAATGTTTGACTAGTAAAAGTAAAATTGCTTGTAAATCTCCTTAAATGGTCCTCACATCCACACCCTACTACGGACCGTCACCAAAATTTAATTATTTCTTCATTAGGTTATATCTTACACTCTCTGTTTATTTAAATTATGTCTGTGCAGACGTTTTTGAGATAATGTCGCACACAAAAAAGCCACACGAAAACACCAAAATGTTACACTCACACACACCACAAACTTACACGACTGAAAACATATATATCCTGGTGGAGATAATAATAATAATAATAATAATAATAATAATAATAATAATAATATTAATATTAATATTTATAATAATAATAATATTAATAATAATAATGATAGGATATAAAAATGAGTATTATTTATAATAAAAATAATAATTGTAAATTAATGCGGATAATGTAAAGACCTCTATGTTTAGATAGATAGATAAATACATCTAAACTTTGAATAAATAAACATTGAACACCTTTAAATAAAACATAAGCCTGATAACTTATTTAAGTATATAAAGTAACTTGGTTGTTCATTAGGGCAACACAGATAGTATTCATTTAAATCAGTTTCACTGATAATTTTAGGGTATTACCACGATGAAAACAATGTCAATATGATGGCTGAGCCAGTAAAATCAACGGTCGAAGGAGATGGGGAAGGGGATGGAGAAACTCGAACAAAGAGACAAACGTCCACTGCCATCCGCCATTTAGAACTACTTGTTGTTGTCGATAATCAGATGAAACTGTACCACGGAGATGAAGTAGAGGACTATGCATTGACGCTCATGAATATCGTAAGATTCACCTGCATGTTTGTCAAACAATAATCAATACCAAAATAACCACCGTTACAAATATTATAATCATCATAATTAAAACCATCATCATCACTATTATCATTAACATCATCGTTATCATCATTTTAAATATCCCCATCATCTTTGTCAGCATCAACATAAAAAATAATATTCTCATCCACGTCATCTCCCAACATCAACATCATCATCATCACCACCATCATTTTTATTATTCTTATTATTAATATTATAAAAGGAAAACATTCAAGTATATATTGTAAATATAATTATGCTGTTATCTTATAATACAGGCTGCGAGTCGATACGCCGACCCGTCACTTGGAATATACGTCAAACTCTACATTACAAAATTTATCATATTGCAAAGTGATACAGTAAGTAAAACACTGGCATGTTTGGTAAAAATAATTGGAACTAAGCTCAGAAAAGTAGTTCAATAAGATAAATAATCACCTGCAATGCGACATTGGCTTGTCGTCAACAAGTGTTGGTAATTATCCAACGTCGGTACGACGTCATCGTTTAATTGGTCGCAATTTTTTGTCAAAATTGTAGCGTTAAGCCAGCATATGAATTTAACGTCTGCCTAACTTAAGAATATATTGTCGAATATTCGATGTCTTTCGATGCCAGAGGTCGTAAACATTAGATCTGATTGATGACGTTGATATAATAGGCACTTTAAGCAAGAGGACGGGGAGCCGTCGACAATAACAATTCGGGTTAAGCGCCCTATTGTTTACTGTGGTCTTTCACGCTCTGATGAGCACAAAACCACCGTCCACCAGTTTCCCTGTCCTGTTGCGTAAAGTGCCAAATGTCACAGTGGAAACGTCATGTTCATACTATTTCTAATTGCCTATTGTTTGTTTAAAATTAGCAAAATTCCAAAGTATTAATGCAAAATGATGATTTTTCATTGAATGTATAGGTCACGATGCAAACTCCAATTGGACGACCAGTTTCACTATCCGTAGCAGCAGACGGTTTAACTACTTTGCTAAATTTCTGTAACTTCCAGAATAATCTCAATCCGACCCAAGATAGTCACCCTAATCATTGGGATAATGCAGTGCTCCTGAGCAGGTAAACCCGTTAATTTATTTTGGATTTAAAATAGGTAGTTATGCGTAAACCCTCGTCAAATCAGCATATATTGTAATCAAAATTGCTCTTAGGCCTAAAAGTAAAGGTTCTTGGCTGATCGTCATCGAATAGAATAGTGACGTTGTTACTTTGGTTGGTCTAATGGCTAGTGAGTTAAATATAAGCCTATAATTTGATTTATAAACGTATTTTAATGTTAAATGTGTTACTTTTAAAACATGTGTTTATAGGTACAACCTGAATCTCTTCGGTAACGACAACCTCAGTGGAATAGCTAATTTGGCGGGTACCTGCTCTTCTACAAAACAATGTGCAATGATTGAAGAATCAGGATTGGCTTCTGGGCTAACAATAACTCATGAAATCGGACACACGTAAGTAGTAGGCCCTGTTGAGCAAGGCATGTACTCATAATTTCTCGATCTGCCTTTAGATCGACTCAAGTCTAATCAAAGTAATGGAACATTTACTTACATCTAAGTTTACACAATGAATGATGAGGATTTGTTACTATGGTACCAGTCAGTTAGTCAATTAATCAATCAATAAATAAATCAATGAATGAATGAATGAATCAATCAATCAATCAATCAATCAATCGATCGATTCAATGAATGAATGAATGAATCAATCAATCTTTATTTCTCTGTAGTCTTGGCATTGACCACGATGGTAATGCAGGATGTTCGGAAAATGTGAACATCATGTCGTCGGGTAGGGCTGCTGGCTCGGGCTCATTTGCTTGGTCAACATGTAGCAGAACACAAATAAACACTTTCTTCAGGTAAGCCTACCTCCTTATACTACTACTTCTAATACATTAATAATAATGGTATGCAAATATTTATAGCGCCTATTCCAAATTGAATGATCAAAGGCGGGGTGAGCGTTATTACCCCTGGTCACTGGATAACATACAATGGCAAATCAGCACAACCTTCTCTGCTCCCTGGGGAGTATACCTAGTCGTGCGCTACTTCTTTAGCGCACGAAACTAGTACATTCAATGCCACAACATCCTACCAAATACCCATTTATATTCCTTGGTAGAGACAGACAAACGTGGATAAAGTGTCTTGCCCAAGGACACAAGCGACTTGCACAGCGAGAGTTTCGAACCAATGAACTTGGGTCCAAGCCACAACCGATGCGTCAACGGCTCCTACCAACCTTGCCACGAAACAACCTGCTGACTGTACCGCCGCTACTTCTACTACTTAATACTACTACTACTATTGCTACTGCTGCTGCTACCGCCACCACAACCACTACTACTACTACTAGTACTACTACTACTACTACTACTACTACTACTACTACTACTACTACTACTACTACTACTACTACTACTACTATATCGGTATTCCTACCAAAGTGAGGACAAATTTTTAAACTTTTATACTATGATTTTTAATATTAGTTGTATAATACAACATTTGTATTAGAAAATTATTATATAAGGTTATGTTATAAGATATTTATCCAATATGTGATCAGGGGCGGATTTAGGGGGGGCCGGCCCGGCCCCGGCCCCCCCTTTTGGGAGGTAAAAAAAAAAAAAAAAAGAGAGAAAAAGGAAAAAATGATGGCCAAGAATGCCTCAAATGTTATGTTCGGGCGTCTAGAACACAAAA